GCGAGAGGGGGCTCAGCCTCAGCGAGTGCGCGGCCGAGGTGAGGGAAGGCCGGGGGCGGAGCGGGGGGGGGGAGCCCTGTCCCCTCAGGGCAGGGAATAGGTAAAAGTAAACCCAAAGCCAGAGGAGGTGGGGTGGGGGGGAGCACAGTCGTTTACCTCCTGAAACTTATCTACCCCTTTGTTCTTACTCGCTCGGTCAGGCTGCTTATAGTTCAGTATGTTTTATGAAGGAGGTGTGAACTGCCGGCGAAAAGAGGGCAAGTGAATTACCCACATGTTTAATATTCGTTGTTCGCGCTTTGCTTCACGCTCGTAGCCAAAAGTGTGCTTATTTCCATAGAGTGCGCTTATTTCGGCACCGTACCAGTGCAGGAAAGCCGGGATGTAAAGCAGGTAGTTTAACAAAAGGGAAAGCTACCGGCTTTTGATTAGCAAAGCCCAAGGAAATGAACCAAGAGACGCTCAGTGTTTAAGAGCAAAAAATAAGCCTTAAGATTTCCACGTCAATGACTGAAGTTTCTGACTTGAGTTTAGCGACAGGCTTAGGTTCTTTCAGATGCTTGTGAGCTATTGGATAGGGTCTTAATTTTCAACAGAAAGAGCCTCTCTGAAATCTGTCAGCTTGCTTGTTTTGAAAGCGGAGCCCGCAGTTAACCTTAATATTCCCCTCCAGGCAGAGAGGAAAATAAGCTGGGTTTGTTTATCTTTTTCCCTGAGGTCAGGAGTCATTGTGTGTGTGCGCACACGCACTTTGCCTTACAATACCGAGCACGTACTTAGAAATGTGGTTGTGCTGGGTATTGCACCAATGAGACTCAGAGGACCTACCCTTAACCCACGTACCTTGGGTGTGTTGTGAGTCTCAAGCGTAGAACTTGCCTTTTGGTAAGTTAAAACAAATGCGGTAAAGAATATGTAGAAAAATCGTTTTTCTCTGGTCTAGATAACATAACTTTATGGGAGTGAGTGGTCATCGTCAGCACTGATAAATACCGACTTGACTTTTTTGCTGTAGAATGAAAATGCTCTGTGCCCAAGACTAAGGAACGTCAAGGTGGAAGATCTTTGGAGCCTGACCAACTTTTTTGGTTTTGCAACTGAAACGTTTGTTTTGGCTGTTAACATTCTGGACAGATTCTTGGCTCTTATGAAGGTAACGCGAGTGGAGAATACCTGCTGTATTGACAGCTGAATCTGCAAGCTTCCTGGGGGCTTTCTTGTCTGACGCAAAAGGGGGAAGAGGAAGGTTGTGATCTAGGAGACACTGTTTCTGTTTACTTACTTTAAGCTAGCAACACTTCCTAATTGCTCCTCCATAAGCTTGGGGTTGAGTACAGTTCTTTCGTGGTAGATAGGCTTATTGATATAATTTAATAAATACCTCAGGCTATGAGTGCTCCTGGCCCTTAAAGGCAGCATGGCTCGTTTGCCCAAAAAGCCTGTATAGCCTTCACTGGGTAGACAGAGAAGACAGGAGGAATTAAGAAAGTACCAAGTGAATTACCTGTGTTAAGAACTAATTCTAGGTACTGTGATATAGCTTAACATAAAGCTCGAACTGATACCAGAAGACTATGTCCTGGATGCTTTTTTGTGTATTTGTGGTGCCTTATGGCAGACAATTTCGATCTAAAACAGTTCCCCGTTATTAAGCTGGCAGAAAAAATGCATATCTGAACTTGCATCTGTTCTCTGATCTGACTTTCCTTGAGTTAGCACAAAACATTGTGCTTGTACATGGGAGAGAACAGCAGAGGGGTGGGAACGAGTCAGGGAGGGATAGAACTGCCTAGAACAAGCTCAGGCCAGATTTGTGTAGGCTTTAAATGAGGATTAGTGAGCACTGCCACTTGGAGAGATGGGGTATTACAGTTCTCAGTAAATGTAGTGTATAATTTTATCTGTAGCAATGTGGAACAATTTTGGTAGTGGTGCTGAGCTATAGAACTTAACGTTTCCTCTGACTTAGCTGTGGCAGACTGATTTTTCTGTGTTGGCTATGCACAGCTGTGTTTTGCTGAAACTTAACTGGTGAAACTACTTAAAACTAGATGGGATGCACAAGTGACTGACTAAGGATGTGTCAGATCTGATTGAGATAACTTGGACCTCTCATTCTGTTGTAGTATGAATGTTAAAAGCCCCTCAGCCAGGCTGGGTGAGCTGTTTGAGAGTCCCTATTTGATAAACACAGCACATAGGAAAAGGATGTTGTCTCCCCCAAAAGAGTGTCACCTAAACACTAAATGGCTTTAAATAACATGTGTTGCAGATGTTAAACCTCATATCCTGTATCTTATGGATATATTCTTTTTACAAAGTGTTCATAGTGGTTCCTCTTGCTTTTAGGTGAAACCAAAGCATTTATCTTGCATTGGAGTCTGCTGTTTCCAACTGGCTGCCCGAGTAGTTGAAGAAGAATGCAATATTCCATCTGCTCATGAGATCATCCGGATCAGCCAATGTAAATGCACTGTGTCCGACCTGAAACGGATGGAAAAGATAATTTCAGAGAAGTTGCACTTTGAATTTAAAGCTACTACTGCCTTAACCTTCTTGCACTTGTACCATGCTATTGTACTCTGTCATACCTCAGAAAGGTGAGTTTGAATTGCTTGTTGGTGGTTTTCTGTCATGTTTGTGAAGCCCTTTGTCTCTCTGAATTTCCCTTCAAAAAAGGGGTTTTAATATTGCCTGGAGAGGAGCAACTCTTTAGTTTTGCTTCGTGACATGTGAATGCTTGTTGATATGAATGCGTCGTCTTTCTCTTGGGTGTCTCATAGGAAAGAAGTATTGAATCTTGACAAATTGGAAGCACAGTTAAAAGCTTGCAACTGTCGTCTAGTCTTTTCTAAAGCAAAAGTGAGTAAAAATAGCGAGTAAAAACTGGTGACATCTGAGTAGGCTTTGATTTGTGTATGTTAAGCAGTGTTTTTTGTCCTTCTAGCCATCTGTCTTGGCCTTGTGCCTTCTCACTCTCGAAGTTCAGACTTTGAAATCTGTTGAGCTGTTTGAGATCCTTCTGCGTGTTCAAAAGCATTCAAAGGTAAATATTTTCAGTGGATTGTTGTGTAGTTGTGGGGGACTGATACAGCTACTGATGTACCACGTTACATTTAAGGGATCCCTGCTATCAGAGTACAACCTCTAGAGATGCTGTTTGGCAGCAACTGAAATAAGCAATGAAACTAGACTTTAGGCACGTCTGAAGCTCTTCTAACTAACACAATTTCATTGGTAAAATGCCAAACGCAAATAGCTGCTGCTTGATTGAGAATAAGGTCAGGTAGTCATTTCTCACTTGTACATCTTGATAGCCGTCCGGGATGCAAAAGGATTATGGTTTTAAAACTGGCTTGAATGTATAAAATGGGAAGAAGTGCTGTTTCTTAATGACTACATAATACATGCTTCAACAAGTAGCTGACTGAACTTGTATAGTTCCAGCCGCATGTTCTAGAGAAATTTCCACTACTTATTTGTATGACTAAAATGTCTGCTGAGCTTGTTCTTTATTTCCCTAGTAACTAATACAGAATTCAAAGCTTCTAGCTGCATGTTTTATCAGGTGTAACGGTCTAAAACCGCAGACTTCTTACTGCTGTAGTCAAATTGAACTAACCCCATTTGCAATAGGGATGCTTCTTGGGTGGGGGGGGGAGCACTTCCTTAATGTATTAAATTATACCATTTTAAAAATATGGTATTATCATGAGGGCAGTGGAACTTCTCAAAGCAGCATTCTCTTACACTGGCTAGCATTCCTGTACTGTTAGCGCAAATAAAGCTCTCAATATTTAATAGCTTGTAGTCTTATTCCTTTTTGGGGAACAGTAATGGAAATACTAACAGCCACTGCCAGGCAAACTGTTGTTCAGAACTTATGTGGACGTATCTGAGATGTTTGGGGTCAGCCTTCCAAAGCAGCCAAACTTTATTGACTGACAAAAGCATCACTACTTTTGACTGATGTTTTTAAGTCCTGTCCTTGAAGGTAAAATGGCAGGAGGGAATATCTTTAGAGCCTGTGTATAATGTAATAAATAGGTTGTTTTTTTTCTCCCTTTTAAGATAAGTGATAGTGACCTACTTTACTGGAGGGAACTGGTCTCGAAATGCCTAGCAGATTATTCTTCTCCTGAATGTTGCAAGCCAGATCATAAAAAGCTAGTTTGGATCGTTTCAAGACGTACGGCTCAGAATCTACAAAACAGTTACTACAGTGTTCCTGAGTTGCCAACGATACCGGAGGGTGGATGTTTCAATGAAAGCGAGAGGTTGGTAAAGCTCATCAGGCAGCTGATTTGTTGGAAATTCCCATTTTCCAGAAATGTTCTGTCAGTCCTTTAAAAAAATAGGTTTATTTAGAACTTCTGGAAGGAATTCTAGCTTTGGAAGCTTCAGCAGACTTTAAAAAAAAAAAAAAAAACCCACATCCTAAGCAGCAGAAGAAAATTCAGAGAACTGATAGTGTGGTATTTGAACAAGTATCAAGACAAATACTTTGCCAGAGGGGTGATTTTTTGTAAGTTAAGGAGGCTTATGATGCATTGGAAGCCTGCTGAAGTAACTTTTAGTTGATATCCTAAACATTGCCTGCTTCTTGGTTGGTAGGAAATCTTTGGCACTAGGAAAAAGGACTCTGTACCTTGTTAGGATTGAAGCCTTAGGGGCGAGGAGTGTTTAGATTTGAAATACTATGCTAGGAATTGAAAACTTTGCAAGAAAATAGGGTTGAAAAATACTTTGCCACTTTCAAGGGTTTGTGTTTAGTTTAAAATATCTTTCCTACTGTTTCTTTTAGTGAAGACTCCTGTGAAGATATGAGCAGCGGAGAAGAAAGCCTTAGCAGTTCTCCTCCTAGTGATCTGGAAGGCGCCTTCTTCTTTGACCTCAAACCTAAAACAAAGTGGCAAACTCCTAACTCTCAGTCTTAGCATTAACACCTGATGGTTCTAGGTTAGGAATTTTAATGCACCATAGTGTTTTGGCAATAATAATTGAAGGGGTAGTACTCTATATGCTGTCTGTATTAAGGCAAGAGTTGCCATGGTATACCCAAATGCTTAGGATGCCTGCCTTGTAGTGTTGTTCTAATTTTTTTAAAGAGAAACTTCTCTTCAGGTCCTAGTTCAGCAAAAAGCTTCGTGTGTGGTTCTGCTGTCAACAAGGACAAATGTTGCAGAGTCCTGCACCGTTATAGTTCTGTTAATAAGGTCAAATGCAGTTGTGCACCTGAGGTTCCTCATGCTCACAGCTAAACAGAAGTCAGCAGTGTGTCTTGGTAGCAGTGAAGGCTGACAGCGTACTGGGCTGTATTAACAAGAGCATAGCCAGTAGATTGAGGAAAAGTAGGGTTTTTCCCCTTTTCCCTGGCGTTTGTTAGATCTCACCCAGAATAGTGTCCACTTTTGGGCCCCTACTGTATACAAATGACCTTGATAAACTTGAGCGAGTCCAAGAGGGAGCTGTCAAGGGGTTTGGGGCACGCGGCCTGTGAGGAGAGCCCTGAGGGACGTGGGCTTGTTCAGCCTGACAAAGAAAGGGATTTGGGTGGGGGTGATGGCAGGGGAATTGAATAGCAGCTGTTGAGTCTCTAGGAGAAGGTTATTCAGAAGATGGATCCAGGCTTTTGAGAGGTGAATGGTGCAAATATGGGAGACAGTGCTCATAAACTTCACTTGGAACTTCCCATTTCAAGGAAGAAATTCTTGGTGGGGACAGCCGAGTATAGGAACAGGGGCCCAGAAGGGCTGTGCAGTCTCTCTCCTGGGAGGTTGTCAACGCTTGATGTGACAAAACCCTGCACAAGCTGGTCTGAACTCAGTGTTGACCCTGCTCTGAGCAGGAGGTTGGACTAGAGACCTCCTGAGGACCCCTCCACCCTGAAGCTTTTTGTGATGGTCTTGAAATGGGTGAGTGGGTTGTGTGGGAATGATGGGCATACACAAAAGTACCATGCTGAAGTGATGCTTTACTGCCAAATGGGCCTGCCTTTAATACTGAAACTGATTTTACACTTTGTATCTGCTGTGCTGCTTTTGGGAAGGAATGTCTTAGCTGATCTTGCTTGTTTTGTACTCCAAGGGCATTTTTAAAAGCTTATTTTTTCATAAACTTCAGGAATCCCTGTTTTAAAGCAGGAATATACCTGGTAAGAGTGTAGTTCTGGTAAGAATGGAGTTTTTCCTGTTTTCTATATTAGTCTATTCCTAACAAGGATGGTGTCAAGTGTGGGACAGGGTTTACTTTCATATTTACTTCGAACTAATGCAAACTAGCTTACACTGAAATTTGCATTGTATACTTCAGTGTGTTTAAACTTAGCGTTACATGTCAATCCATACTATTAGAATAGACTTATTAACCTGATAAATTTTGGTAAGTCTACATTCCTTTTGAATGTTTAACCCTTGTAGTTGATTTCAGTATCTTCATATTATTGATTGAGTCATAATCAGACTTGTTTGCATGCTTATGTAAAGCAGTTAGTGCAGGAAAAGTTGATATTATGCAGTAATACCAGGTAAATGTGATGTTGATGAAGTAGCTGATGTAATGTTTTTCTGAACTTTTTATTGAAGCACACAAACTTTAGTATGATTGCATTTCTCCATATTGAGAATATGGATAGGTAGCAAGTGAAGAAATTCACTCAGAATAACGGTGTGTAGTGTGGTGGTGCCAAAGTAGAAATGAAGGGGCAAACAAGTTAACGGTTGTTTTGTAGAGCTAAGCATTGTTTAGAATGAGTGGTGCCATAACTGTTCATAACTGTTAGATGCTTTCAGTTTTATAGAAATACAAAAAGTTTACAAAAATGTATATAAAAATGTAAATTAAAAAATGTACAGAAAAAAATTTAAAACAAAAAATGAGCAGAAAATACTGTATTTTTTTACATTGTATGTAACTTTTTGTAGGTATGTTGCATGTAGATATTAATTTATTGTGTACTCTCTATGATAATGCTGTCTACTTGAAGACTTCTTACTGCAAGTCTCTGCACCTGGAAGCTCACTTCTGAGACAGAGTACCTTTGTTAGAGGTAATGAACCTACTGAGTTTCGTTTCAGTTGTGAATGACAATAAACCAATTGCTGTATTTGTTAACTGGTGTGAGTTACAGTTGGTTACTTGAGGCACTGGCTTGCTCCTCTTTGCTGTGTGGTCTGTGTGGTACGCCAGCTGTTTTTCAGGTTTGCCAGCAAGTTTTGTTGAGCAGCTTGTAAAGAAAAAGGAAAAACTTCAGTACGGTGGTGCTGCTGAGAGTGAATCTTTGCTCTGCTTCACTTGTATTGGTTCTAGAAGCTGGTGTGAGGTATCCGGTGCTCATCAGCCCCATGCAGATGCACCTGGGCTCCTGCTCTTGTACAATGATGAGGGTTTTGAAGGGTGTGTTTGCACAGCTGGCTAAGTGGAGCTCCCACTAGTGGTGAAGTAAGGGGTCATTACAGGAAAAGTGTTTCGGGTTATGGGTTAGAGTTCTTTGGGGTTTTTCTGTTCCCAGCTCTGACTGGAACTTGGTCTCTGGATGTGTTTGCAATTTTGCAGTCAAAAAAAACCCTACAGTAATTCATAGGAGGAGAACTTAAACTACAGTTTTGCTCTTACCTCCCCATCTTACAAAGCGTTTCTAGTGTTAGCATGTTGAAAAATGCTTAATGCCACTGTAATAACTGTGTGGCAACAGAGGGTGTAGGGAGCTCTAATCCTTGTGGAAACAGTGTTCCCAGCCCTAGAAGGACTGAAACAAGTAGCCAGGACATACCCACACAAATCTGAACAGTGAAGAAGAGAGATGCCAGCCTCCTGCCTGCTGAGGTTGCTGTAAGAAGTTAAGATGCAGATGTCTGCTCTTTCGGGCCTTTTCTTCTATGCACAAGGGGTTGAGTGTGAGCAAGCACAAGGGCTTCTGCCAGGCCAGCCCATCTCAAGTGCTTGACACCACTGCAGGGAATGGGAATCCGGCCCCGGTGCTGTCAACATTGGGGCACTGTGTGTGGGTAGGGGCTGGGAATGAATAGAGTGTTGTGGTGCTGACAATGAGGGCTGTCACTGGCAGTGAACATGTGTGAGAAACAGGGCCACTGCTACTATTAAAATAATCCTATGAGTTTAGTAACTTAAACTCTTCATGGCCTTCATGGCTACTTTTTTTAGTGCATGCACACATTACAAGAGTTCTCACTTCCCACATACAACAGATGAGGGACTGACACCTGATACTCTTAAGCAAACTTTCCTTGAATGTCTCATAACTCATATACATCAGTAAAAGTCAATTATATAATGATACTGCTCATATTTCAAATAAGCGTTGTTAATGCTGAAGTGCAATGGCTCCTTTGTGTGGTGTGACTGCTTTGAACATAAAAGCTGTTGCAGCAAAGATGTTGAGCTCCTACTTCAAAGGTGCCCACTCAAGTCACTTCAGTACAGCAACCACCTTGCTCAGGAGTCAGCGGATAATACATATGCGGTGTAGATGAATGGTTGTGAAGGCAGGAAGCCACAAGAGATGTCCTTGGGTTAACTAACAGCTGGTGAGATTAGTCTGTTTAATAAAGCTTGAGGTGCACCTTTCAGCTACTTTCAAGTTGGTCCCTGCATGAAAACAAATTTACTTGCGAGAACATTGTCAGATTTACTTCTGTGGTTTGATAATTTAGGCTCCACTTTGATTTTTGCGAGGTCCGATTGGTGTGCCTCCCTCAAAGGAGGTGTTTGCCATTCTTTGCTCAAAGAACAGGGCTTTTGGTGGTGGTTTGTTAATAGCAGAGCTGTGCATACTTTTGAAATGCTGATTTGGGCTTTCCTACACCAAAAGGTGAAGCTTTGAATGTATGCGGTCTCAAGAGTTGAGATGTGTGCTCACTTTCATAACTGTCCAACTGCTTTGGGTTGGGGCAGAGGGGTTTGAAAGAATTTTTCTGTGGGAAAGACACCCCTCAGGACTACTCCTAGCTGTACAGTTTGTGAGAGCTCTGGAACGTTACTGTCTTGTGCCTTTATGAAATAACATGTTACCATACCTATTTAATGCACAGAATTGATAGTTCTGTAGTGTGGCCTGTCCTCACACTTTTGTAGATGAGCTCCAGCCTCTGACTGGATCTCCAGCTGTCATCACACTGCTCACCTTTCAAACCTGCTGTCCTGTAGCTGAAGCGGGCCGCAGGGAATCAGTAGTGGAACTGCTGCTATTTTAGTGAGCTGTCAACCCATAATTAAATGATGATCATCAACCTTTAAACAGGAAACTTGAATTCCTCACCAGATGACTATTTAACTCACATGGAACAATAAAACTTCCCATGTAAATCACTGTTTGGGCCCCAGTCTTTAACATCTCTCCGTTTGTTCAGTGAGTTGAGTACTGTTTGTGTGGGTCAGTGTTTAGAGCAGACTCTGTGCTTGGCTGTAGGAGAAAAGGCTGAACCGGAGAGTAAAGGCGCTGCTGCCTTATGATCTCATACTGCTGCTTTGGTAGTTTGTGATGGGAAGGACCAATAGGGGAATGCCTGATTCCTGTGATGCCAGTTTAGCTATCAAGGCCTTTGGAGCACAATGCAACGTAAAAGAGTAGAAAGTAGAGGCAAGAGCAGAAATCAGATTCTGCAGTTCCCTGTTCAATGCGCGTTGCATACAGCCTTTAACAAGAGAAAAATGTCTGTTCCCATTTTCAGATAGTGCCTGACTTAGAGCTGCTTGTTCAGCTTCCTACGAATCTGGTGCACTTTAGAGCTCAGACTGACAAGAGATTTTTATAGTACTCTAGGGACTGGCAAAATGTGGCTTACTAGTACGCATGCTGGGAGATCAAGATCCGTTTTGCCATGCACAAGTTCATGTGTAAATGTTTTACATGTGAACAGTTTCAGCAGCACTAGGGAGAGACTGGACAGGACAGAAAAATAAGAGTGCTTACATATTGCTGAGCAAAGCTCATGCTGGGTGTTCTTGTTTAACTAAACTGAACACCTTCTCCCAGACAGCAAAAGGCATAGTTTTGACTTCACGTCTCTGTCAAGTTTCAAGTTCTTGCTCTGAATCCCTGTTGTCTAAAAGATCTTCTGGAGAAGAGTTAGAATAGAGGAAAAGTTAATGTCTAACATACACGCTAACAAAACTGCCGTAACGAACTTTCTTCTCCCAAAATGGCCAAGCTGTTTATACTCAAGGAGAGAGCCAAGTAATGAAAACAGAGAACAGTTATTGGTAGAAATAAGCATGGAAATTATCCGTCGGGACAGCTGAGAGAAACTGTGGGATTTATCAGCAAATAATAGAAGGTGCTAGACAGCCCGAAGTATGTTCTGAGTCTCTCATGCGTTGTATGAGCAGATAATCACTGTTTATCTTACAGTACATGTTGCAACTGTGCTGTGTCACAGCCTTGTTCTATGGAGGCCTGTAGGAGTCTAGTGCAATGCCTATACTAAAGGGAGTAAGTTGCCGTAACAACTGAATGAAATCAATTAGAGTAATAAGCAATTAAAATCTCATCTTTAGTGTTGCATAAACATAGCATTTTGCTCATGAATTATTAGTAATCTTGCCTCTAGACCTGTATGTTCTGTTCCTGATTTGCAATCTCAACAGTTCTCGAATTAATGAACCATTTCATTTCTCCTTCAAAGAGTGCTGGTAGGTTTTTTTGGCTGCAGCTAGTACATCTTCATCAGAGAGATGTAAACACTATTAAAACATTACATTCGTGATGGGATTTCCAAAGTGCTCTGCACTGGCTTCATTCCCACCCTGTGAAGTCAAAGGTAGAAGAACTGGCCTATGGTGAGAGATCTCGTCCTGGACTTAGAAGGGCAAATTCAACTCCTTTCTCTGTCACACGCTTCCTCCTTGACCTTCTCTGTGTTGTTGAATCTCTCACTGCCTTTCTTCTCCCTCAGTAAAACAAAGATAAGAATAGCTCTTTACTGTCTCTCACAGATGTCAAAGAAAAACAAGCTAAAAACAGAGCTATGTAGCTGTTATGGGAAGGCAGGATACATAAGGGCCCATGAGAAAGCAGAGATCGCTGGGAGCACAGCTAGACCTCCTGTTTCTTCCCAGTGGTGCTTTTAGGTGCTCTAGTGTAGAGACGTTCCGGGACAGGGATTCAACTAACTGTAATGCTACTTTTGCCTGTGTGACAGGACCTGTTTCATGCCTAGTTGATAGCCTCTGCTGTCTGTTGCAGGAGGTCTTCAACATTTTGCAGGAAGAGCTTCACAGCTAGCAAGGACAGATATTCTGTGATTGCAGGGGCAGATCCTGTGCCGTGCCTTCAAGGGGCACCGTTTCTTCAGCAGCCTTGTAGAGGCACCTAGAATTTTGCTCACTGCGTGGCACATGGGGAAACGTGGACCAAGCTGATGAGTTGCTGTCATGCAAGTTATGCAACAACTGAAATGCTTTCTGTTTACTGTGCAAGGGCCCGTATGTTTGCTCTCTGAGGAGTTCATATGGCTGTGGGTAGAACTATTCAAAAGTTAAGGTGGACTCAGAATCCTGAGTCTCCAAGGAGCTTCTGAAGGCATTACCCAACTGTGGTCTGAAGAGTAGTCTCCTCTCATACGGTGATGGAGCCAGGCAGCTGGGACGTATTGTTCATCCAAACTCGATTATCAACCCTTTTAGGGAGCAAAAGGACTTGAGACGATCCCCTTTCTAGGCTTACTGTCCTGCCAAGATTACCAAATCAAAGGCCCGTTGTCTAATCTTTGTGCTGCAGACTATCAGAAGCCAGATGGAGCTTACATGCCAACTCCTTGCCTCAAACATTGGCACAGTGTCAAAGGGACTGGAGGGCAAAGCTGTTTAGTGAGGAAGAGTAAAGTAGCATGCTCCGCCTTTGCTGTGTCAGGAGAGCAAAAGGACACTGCAGGCAGGTCTCAGTTCATGCTCTGTGCTCCTGCCAGGGTGCAGCAGCTGTGTGCTGTCCCTCTCCCAAACGCCACCAAAACAGGCAGGTCCGGTCTACCGCTCGTGAGGCTGTGACCTCCTCTTCTCAGAACACCACTTTGCAAATTCAGCTGTTCCTTCTTGCCGGAGGCACCATCCTTTGCATCCAGAAGCCATCTGTCTCATGCCTTTTGCTTTTCTAAGCT